TGCTAGTTTTTGCAGATATTCTGAGGATAAAGTCTCACTATCCCAACAAGAAAGCACATTAATTCTTTCTTCCTATTATTAACTTGGAGTAGATAGTAATAACAAAGTCTAAATTTTGGGAACACGATGAAAATTCTAATTCAAAAAGAATCACAGGAAGAACTGATTATTTTGTTTCAGGAAAGAGATGTTGGTTCTAATCACACCAATCTTAACAAGCCTAAGCAATTAATTATCACTGGAACACACGGGCTTCCGGGCAAAAGGATTCCCGTAGGAAAGTACGTTTAATGTAACCGAGCACGTGGAGTTCCACCTTCTCGTCCTCTCTTTTTCTTTTTTTTTTTTTTGAGACAGGGTCTCACTCTGTTGCCCAGGCTGAAGTGCAGGGGTGCGATCTCGGCTCACTGCAGCCTCCACCTCCCGGGTTCAAGCGATTCTCCTGCCTCGGCCACCTGAGCAGCTGGGATTACAGGCACGAGCCACCACACCCAGCTAATTTTTGTAATTTTAGTAGACACAGAGTTTCACCACGTTGACCAGGCTGGTCTTAAACTGATCTCAAGTGATCTGCCCGACTCGATCTCCCAAAGTGCTGGGATTACAGGTGGCGTGAGCCACTGTGGCTGGCCACCTTCTCGTTCTGTAGAAACATTTCATGCATGAAAGTCAGAAATAAGTCAACATGTTTTTGCCTTGGCTGTTTTTCTTTCTTTACCCTACCCACGTCCGAAAAAACAGCATGGTTTTAAAACCAAACTAAGATTCAGAAGAAAAAGCTTCCTGGCTGTGATGGGCTGAGACTGCTCCTCCAAGACGGCTACGTCCTAATTCCTGGAGCCTGGGAATGTTACTTTCAGGACAAAAGGGACTTTGCAGGTGTAATTAAATTAAGGATTTTGAGATGGGGCGATTATACTGGATGATCTATGTGGGCCCAATGTCACTGTAAGAGTCGTTTTAGGAGGGAGGGAGGAACGGTCCAGAAGGAGAGGAGGGAGGGAGGAACGGTCCATAATGACAGGAGGGAGGGAGGAATGGTTATAAAGAGAGGAGGGAGGGAGGAATGGTCCATAAGGAGCGGAGGGAGGGAGGAATGGTCCACAAGGAGAGGAGGGAGGGAGGAACGGTCCATAAGGAGAGGAGGGAGGGAGGAACGGTCCATAAGGAGAGAAAGGGATGTGAAAGCAGAGAGGGCTGGGCACGGTGGCTCAGGTCTATAATCCCAGCACTTTGGGAGGCTAAGGCAGGACCACTTGAGACCAGGAATTCAATACCGGCCTGGGCAACATGGTGAAATCCTGTCTCTACAAAAAATACAAAAAATAGCTGGGTGTGGTGGCGGGTGCCTGTAGCCCTAGCTACTTGGGAGGCTGAGGTGGGAGGACTGCTTGAGCCTGGGAGGTCGAGGCTGCAGCGAGTCATGATTGCATCACTGCACTCCAGCCTGGGTGACAGAGCGAGACCCTGTCTCAAAACACAAACAAACAAACAAACGAAGGGGCAGAGAGATCTGAAAGTGCTGTTGGATCTGAAGATGGAGAAAGTGGTCAAGAGCCAAAGAATGCAGGAAACCTAGAGAAGCTGGAAAAGGCAAGGAAATGGATTCTCCGAGGAGCATCCAGAGGGCGTGCGGCCCTGCAAGGGGGTGGATTCTCCGCGGAGCGTCCGGAGGGCGTGCGGCCCTGCAGACACCTTGGTTTCAGCCCCGTGAAACTCATTTTGGACTTCAATCTCAAGAACTGTAAGATGAGAAATCCGTGTTGTTTTAAGCCATTAAGTTTGTAGTTACTTGTTACAGCAACAATAGGAAACTTTTAAGTTGACCTTATCTCTTGCTGCTGATTTGCTGTCCTACCCAGTGATTGATTCGTTCCATTAACATCTATGGCCCATCAGACACGATGTGAAACGTTCTGTATATTAAAAAAACATATTAAGTCACAGCTGCCTCAGGAGTTCACAGACTAGCAGCCTCCATCTCCTCCCTGCCAATGAGACTGTTTCTTTTCAACAAGTGAGTCGGCCCATCTGGCAAACCCAGGAGTTCTGCGTACCTGGTCACGGATAAGCCCGTGATAGAGGATGCTCTGCATGTCCCTGCAGAGCCGCTCCAAGCCACCATACTTAGACCAGACGTTGGGGCTGTTGGCTGATACCAAACCCTCCACCGTAGTCTTCAAATGACCCAGCAACTGCCAGTGTTCCCTCCTGCAAGGGCATCAGTTACCAATGGTTAGTTACCTTTGTTGTGCCTGATCTGGATCACATCAAAGACAGCCTCAGCCGAGGAGCCCCCGCCCCACATCCTGACATCCTCTCCCTATTAATTTTCATTTAGGCGTAACACTCAACTCTGAGAGAATCAAAGTTGTGAACGATACTAATTATAAAGACAAAAAGCAAAAAGCAAAAACCCTCACATTCAAATGGTATGTTATGCTTTGTAAGGGGATTTTTATCTACTATCTCACACAATCCTCAAGTAAGTAGCATATAACTCTAACTTTACAGGCGTATAACCCATTCACATCCATTTTTATTTTTTGAGACACTTACTCCATCGCCCAGGCTGAAGTGCGGTGGCATGATCACAGCTTACTGCAGCCTCAACCTCCCAGGTTCGGGTGATCCTCCCACCTCAACCTCCCAAGTAGCTGGGAACTACAGATGTGCAACAACACAGCCTGAAGATTTTTAAATTTTTTGTAGAGATGGGGTCTCACTATGTTGCCCAGGGTGGTCTCTAACTCCTGGTCTCAAGGGATCCTCCCACTTCAGCCTCCCAAAGAGCTGGGATTACAGATGTGATCCACCGCGCTCAGCCTAAGATCCATTTCTTAACAACGACAGTACCTGCACAATATACAAAAAGATGAAGGCATCCACCAGACATCTTCTGCCAAACAAAAAAGGCCAGAAACGACTTCTTATTTCCTATATTTCCAAGCGCTAACTACAGCATCGTGAAGGACAGAAACTGTAGTACTAAGGCGGTCACTAAAATGTCATTTATGGTTATACCGTAAGAAACGGCCATTGCAGAGGCCAATCGACTGCCAACTTTTGCTCAGTGACTCTGCATATCCTATGCCTCTTCCTCAGAGCTAACTAGCCTCTGATTTCTTAGTGACACAGTCTTCACATGTGCCAACAGGTTACAATCCAGTCTCATGGGCCTGAGAATCAGTCTGACTCATGAAGTGACTCTGCATACCTGTGTTCTGATTCATTCTGTACTGATCTTACAAGGTTAACTGTTAAAGGACATCATGAGGCTGGGCGCAGTGGCTCATGCCTGTAATCCCAGCAGTTTGGGAGGCTGAGGTGGGTGGATCACGAGGTCAGGAGTTCGAAACCAGCCTGGCCAACATGGCAAAACCCCATCTCTACCAAAAAATACAAAAATTAGCCGGGTGTGGTGGCACATGCCTGTAATCCCAGCTACGTGGGGGACTGAGACAGGAGAATCGCTTGGACCTGGGAAGCGGAGGTTGCAGTGAACTGAGATCGCGCCATTGCACTCCAGCCTGGGCAACACGCGTGAGACTCTGTCTCAAAAAAAAGAAAAGAACATCATGATAAATCCAAAAGCAAACATTAAATACTCTATCATCCTAGGGCTTTGATTCCAAAATTACACAAACAGCACTGACATCTTAGAAACTTTGAGCGCTCAGATCTACCTATAATTTCCTCCGAACAAAGCTGAAGAATTTCCCTTCCTCACAATAAAGTGTCCCTGAGGTGCCAAAGCTACAAAAGAATGTGGCTTTTATTCTAAGATATACCAAACAATCTATATTTGGTATCTTCTCCTGTAGAAGAAAACTTTTGTAAAAATTTGATTTACACAGCTACTGTATTTAGTGTCACCTTTTAAAAAATTTTTGATTGATACATAATTGTACATATTTATAGTATACAATGGATACATTGTGCATTGATCGCAACAAATTAGCATATCCATCATCTTTTTTTTTTTTTTTTTTTTTTGAGACGGAGTCTCGCTCTGTCGCCCAGGCTGGAGTGCAGTGGCCAGATCTCAGCTCACTGCAAGCTCCGCCTCCTGGGTTTACGCCATTCTCCTGCCTCAGCCTCCCGAGTAGCTGGGACTACAGGCACCTCGCCCGGCTAGTTTTTTGTATTTTTTAGTAGAGACGGGGTTTCACTGGGTTAGCCAGGATGGTCTCGATCTCCTGACCTCGTGATCTGCCCGTCTTGGCCTCCCAAAGTGCTGGGATTACAGGCTTGAGCCACCACGCCCGGCCCCATCATCTTAAATAGTTATCATTTCCCTGTGATGAGAACATGCAAAAACCTCTCTTCCAGCTGTTCTGAAATACACCATACACTGTTAACCCTTGTCGTCTTACTGTGCAACAGAACACCAGAACGTACTCTTCTCCTACCTGTCACCTTGGACCTGTTGACCAATCTCTCTCCATCCCTTTCTCCCTCCTACCCTCCTCATCCTCTGGCAACCACTATTCCACTCTCTACTTCCAGGAGAACAACTTTTTAGATTAGACGAGTTTTAGCATGTGACAGCTGTCTTTCTGTGCCTGGCTTATTGCACTTACTGTAACATCTTCCAGGTTCACCCATGTTGCCAAAACTGAAAGAATTAAGGCTGAATTGTATTCCACAGCGTATACACATACCGTTATCTTCAGCCTTTACTCTGTTGATGGACATTTTTTTAAGACAGAGTCTCACTCTCTGTCGCCCAGGCTGGAGTGCAGTGTCATGATCTTGGCTTACTGCAACCTCTGCCTCCCAGGTTCAAGCGATTCTCCTGCCTCAGCCTCCCATGTAGCTGGGACGACAGGCGCAGGTCACCATGTCTGGATAATTTTTGTATTTTTAGTTAGATGGGGTTTCGCCATGATGGCCAGACTAGTCTCAGACTCCTGGCCTCACGAGGTCTGTGCACTTCGGCCTCCCAAAGTACTGGAATTACAGGCATGAGCCACTGTGCCCAGCTGTTGATGGACATTTAAGTTGATTCCATATCTTGGCTATCATGAATAGCACTGCAATAAATAGAGGAGTGCAGATACCGCTTTGATACACTGATGGCATTTCCTCTGGATATATACTCAGTATCAGGATGGCCCGATCACATGGTAGTTCTATTTTTAACTTTTTGAGGAACCTCCGAACTGCGTTGCATGATGGGAACCTCCGAACTGTGTCACGTGATGGGAACCTCTGGACTGCATCGCGTAATGCCTGTACTAACTTGCATTCCCACCAGCAGCGTATAAGGATTCCCTTTCCTCCCCGTCCTCACCAACACTGGCTAGCTTCTGATTTTTTTTTTTTTTTTAATGTGGAGCGATTAGATTTGGTTTGCTAGTATTTTGTGAAGGATTTCTGCATCTATACTCATTGGAGGTACTAGCCTGCAGTTTTTTCTCTCGTGTCCCTCTCTAGCTTTGGTATCAGGATAATGTTGGCCTTCTAGAATAAGTATGGAGGAATTCTTTCCTTCAATTTTGTGGAATAATTTGGGAAGAACTGGTATTAGTTCTTCCTTAAAGGTGCGGTAGAATTTAGCAGTGACGACATCAGGCCCTGGGCTTCTCTTTCACGGGAGAGTTATTACTGATTCAATCTCATTACTCATTATTGGTCTGTCCAGGTTTTCTATTTCCTCATGATTGAGTATCAGTAAGCTGTATGTGTCCAGAAATTTCTTTACTTCTTCTAGGTTTTCCAATTTCTTGGCACAGAGTTGCTCATAACAGCCTCTAGTGATTCTTTGTATTTCTGTGCTGTCACTTGCAATGTCTCCTTTTTGTCTCTGATTTTATTTATTTTGAGTCTTTTTTCCCCCTTGGTCTAGCTAAAGGTTTGTTAATTTTATCTTTTGAAAAAAACAACTCTTTTGTTAACCTTTTATATTGTTTTTTTTTTTCAGTCTCTATTTCATTTATTTCTGCTCTGATCTTTATTATTTCTTTCCTTCTACTAATTCTGGGTTTTGTTTGTCCTGGTTTTCTAGTTTCTTGAGGTGCAACGTTAGGTTGAGATCTTTCTACTTTTTTGATGTAGATGTTAATTGCTATTAACTTCCCTCTTAGTACTACTTTTGCAGTATCCCACTGTTTTGGTAGGCTGTGTTCCCATTGTCATTTGTCTCAATAAATTTTCTAATTCCTTCTTAATTCTTCATTGACCAACTGGTTGTTCAGGAGTATGTTGTGTAATTTCCAAGTATTTGTATAGTTTCCTAAGTTGTTCTTCTTATTGATTTCTAGTTGCATTGCATTGTAGTCACAAAAGATACTTGAATGGCTGGGTGCAGTGGCTCACGCCTGTAATCCCAGCACTTTGGGAGGCCGAGGTGGGCGGATCACTTGAGGTCAGGAGTTCAAGACCAACCTGGTCAACATGGTGAAACCCCATCTCTACTAAAAATACAAAAAAATTAGCCAGGTGTGGTGGTGTGTGTGTGTAATCCCAGCTACACAGGAAGCTGAGGCAGGAGAACTGCTTGAACCCGGGAGGTGGAGGTGGAGCTGGGACTGCACCACTGCACTCCAGCCTGGGCGACAGAGTGAGACTCCATCTCAGATAAATAAATAAATAAATACTTGATATGATTTCAATTTTTAAAAATTTGTTGAGACCTGTTTTGTGGCCTACCATATGACACCATATATCCTGGAGATGGTTCCATGTGCTGCTCAGAAGAATGTGTATCCTGCAGTTATCGAGTAGAACGTTCTGCAGATGTCTCTGTTAAGTCCATTATAGGATACAGTTTAATGCTGCTGTTTCTTTGTTGATTTTCTGACTGCATGATCTGTCCATTGCTGAAAGCGGGTATCAGTTTCTCTCCCCATCTAGGTCTATTAATACTCACTTTATATATTAAGGAGCTCCCATGTTGGGTGCATGCATGCATACACACACACACACACACACACACACACACACATACACACACATACATATGCACAGATATACACACACATACATACACATACACACATACACATACATAAATACACACACACACACACACAAACTGTTATATCCTTTTGTTGAATTGACCCTTCATCATTATACAATGACATTGACTCTTTTTACAGCTTTGGATTTGAAGTCTATTTTCTCTGATATAAGTAAAGCTACTCCTGCTCTCTTTTGGTTTCCATTTGCATAGAGTACCTTTTTCCATCCCTTCCCGTCGAGTCTAT